TCTTCATCTCAACTCTGTTACATTTTACCCAAAGGATGTCTGAGTGGGTCTGTGACCTCAGAGAACATTTTTATAGGAGACATGTTGGGTGGGGGGAACCCCAGCTTCATGTGTACATGTATTTGTGTGTAATACAAAGCATAATTCCATGTCTGTGTGTGTGCATGACTTCATGACTGTGTGTGTGTGTGTGTGTGTTTAACAGCATGAAAGGGCACTGTATCTCCATCTCTCCTGGGAAATAAAACAAAAAGACCCTCTGTGCTCCGTCAACTTTAGATCATACAGTGCCCTTTATGTGAACCTCGCCTCCTCCTTCCTTCCTCCAACCTCTCTGTTCTCTCCTGTTGGTATGACTGATAATGAGGAAAAGTTGTCTTTCAAAGGTGCTATTAAGATTCACATTCACAAAATGAATACATATATACATTGTCTTAAATAGATGACTTAAAGCTGCTACAATCAATATGTTTACATGTGCTGGTCATATAATTAGAATATCATCAAAAAGTTGATTTATTTCAGTAATTCCATTCAAAAAGTGAAACCTGTATAATGTATACATTCATTCCACAGACTGATATATTTCAAGTGTCCATTCCTTTTAATTTTGATGATTATAACTGACAACTAATGAAAACCCCAAAATCAGTATCTCCGAAAATTAGAATATTGTGAAAAGGTTCAATATTGAAGACACCTGGTGCCACAATCTAATCAGCTAATTAACTCAAAACACCTGCAAAGGCCTTTAAATGGTCTCTCACACTAGTTCTGTAGGCTACACAATCATGGGGAAGACTACTGACTTGACAGCTGTCCAAAAGACGACCATTGACACCTTGCACAAGGAGGGCAAGACACAAAAGGTCATTGCTAAAGAGACTGGCTGTTCACAGAGCTCTGTGTCCAAGCACATTAATAGAGAGGCGAAGGGAAGGAAAAGATGTGGTAGGAAAAAGTGTATAAGCAATAGGGATAACCGCACCCTGGAGAGGATTGTGAAACAAAACCTATTAAAAAATATGGGGGAGATTCACAAAGAGTGGCCTGCAGCTGGAGTCAGTGCTTCAAGAACCACCACGCACAGACGTATGCTAGACATGGGTTTCAGCTGTCGCATTCCTTGTGTCAAGCCACTCTTGAACAACACACAGCGTCAGAAGCGTCTCGCCTGGGCTAAAGACAAAAAGGACTGGACTGCTGCTGAGTGGTCCAAAGTTCTCTGATGAAAGTAAATTTTGCATTTCCTTTGGAAATCAAGGTCCCAGAGTCTGGAGGAGGAGAGGAGAGGTGCAGAATCCACGTTGCTTGAAATCCAGTGTAAAGTTTCCACAGTCAGTGATGGTTTGGGGTGCCATGTCATCTGCTGGTGTTGGTCCACTGTGTTTTCTGAGGTCCAAGGTCAACGCAGCCGTCTACCAGGAAGTCTTAGAGCACTTCATGCTTCCTGCTGCTGACCAACTTTATGGAGATGCAGATTTCATTTTCCAACAGGACTTGGCACCTGCACACAGTGCCAAAGCTACCAGTACCTGGTTTAAGGACCATGGTATCCCTGTTCTTAATTGGCCAGCAAACTCGCCTGACCTTAACCCTATAGAAAATCTATGGGGTATTGTGAAGAGGAAGATGCGATACGCCAGACCCAACAATGCAGAAGAGCTGCAGGCCACTATCAGAGCAACCTGGGCTCTCATAACACCTGAGCAGTGCCACAGACTGATCGACTCCATGCCAATTCAGGCAAAAGGGGCCCCAACTAAGTATTGAGTGCTGTACATGCTCATATTTTTCAGTTGGCCAACATTTCTAAAAATCCTTTTTTTGTATTGATCTTAAGTAATATTCTAATTTTCGGTGATACTGAATTTGGGTTTTTCATTAGTTGTCAGTTTTAATCATCACAATTAAATGAAATAAACATTTTAAATATATCAGTCTGTGTGTAATGAATGAATATAACATCCAAGTATCACTTTTTGAATGGAATTACTGAAATAAATCAACTTTTTGATGATATTCTAATTATATGACCAGCAACTGTATATGAACAGTGGATCAAATCATTGTGTAAGTTAAGGGGTCACACGTAGTTCCAAAGGATACCTGTCTATGTAACATTTCAACATCTTTCAACTCAGTGTTTTGGTTTCTCTAGTCCACAAATTTAATGTTTTGGCCCTACCCTACCTAAGCTTCTTGCTGAGCACCAGACAATGGATGGACAAAATTAGCTACTACGCAGTTGAACATAGTGGAGCATTTAATTGCTGAAAACCGACTAAAATGTTGTCTATGAAGATTCTCGGTCATCCAGGTCATAGTTATCCAACAAAGTTTAAAATCAAGGGGAACTGGACTTGGTTGAAGATACTGGAAGACGTTTTGTCCCTCATCCAAAGGACTTCTTCAGTTCTGACTGACTGGCAGGGAAACTCAGCTATTATCAGCGACTAAAATGTTGCAATTAACGTTCAAGAACTGAAAACACACTGTGAAAGTGTCAAATTATTTTCTTGAAAATTTACAAAATGAACATCTGTATTGAAGAGGACTTGAAACTAGGGATTCAGACCATAAACTAATTCGGAAGTGTTTACTGAGGTAATAAATCAGGTTAGAAGTAGGGTCATTTTATGTCTACTGCCCTACAAAGGCAAAATGCAGTAACTACATATTTGTTCAAAACTGTCAAGACCTGCTTGTGACATGTGATTTCTTCATGTTATTATATAGAAAATAATAATGCCATTGAAATGCAATTTAATTTTTTAAATTTGCAGTAAAACCCATACCACACTGCACTGTGATTGCGCTGTTCAGCCTCTATGGGCTTCAAATGGGCATTAGCTGAATAGACACTGAACAAAATTATAAACGCAACACTTTTGTCCCCCCCCCCCCCCCCCATTCATCATGAGCTGAACTCAAAGATCTAAGACTTTCTCTATGTACACAAAAGGCCTATTTCTCTCAAATATTGTTCACAAATCTGTCAAAATCTGTGTTAGTGAGCACTTGTCCTTTGCCGAGATAATCCATCCACCTCACAGTTGAAAAACTAAATTTACTGAAACTAAAGCCCTGCACCCTGCAACGCAAGCCAGCCAATCTACCAGCCAGATCAGCCCAGGGAGTCTGGATGAAGATGGCTGCCACGCGTATCTTGCGTTCCTTTGGAGCATAGGTTGTGCATGTCAGCAAGATGCAATTTAGCGCATGAAATGGGGGCAGTTTGTCGATCTGACAGGCAAGTCAGCAGCAATCTCCTGTTTCACACGCCAGGTGGCGGATATGCAGTTGTTTTGCCAGCCGGTATTAAACAAAAAAGAAGAAGAAAGTCAGCGACATATTTAAAAAAGGAGATTTATGGCAGGATGTTTATCTGCCCCCTAGTGGATTCACATTTAATCCTCCAGGTAAACGCAAAGTTCGCAGGCAAGTATGTGAACAATGCCGTTTGCGTCGCCGACGCCTCCCTACGCCTACACATTGTTAAAAAGCAAGTAAGTCTGACATTATACACTCACTATTTTGCTATGTTAACTAGCTAGCAATTTCATTGTGTTAGCAAACAAGCTAATGTTAGCTAACATTAGCCAGCTAAAAACAAAATATCACAATATATTTCAAATGCTTTGTAGTAATGTTTGTAAATGCTTTGACTTTGGATTCTGTGGTAGACTCTGTGTTGTGGTGGGTGCCAGTTGTTTTTGACATTAGCAGACTCCATTTCTAAGCTAACGTTAGCTAGTGTTGCAGACTGTGCTGTGGGGGAGCAGTAGAGAAGGCTCTCGGGAGTGCACATAAACATCACATCCTATGGATTTTCCCTGAAAAACATCCGGAGTCCATTACCAACTGAGAAAGTCAGAGATGGTTGCATTTTTTAAGTTACATTTCAATCCGTTCACACACTGGCAATACAAGGCAATTAGTAAATTGCCTCACATTCTTACATATGTCACATTTAAATGTATTAAAGATGCAATTTTTAATGCAGGTTCTTCTGCATCATTCTAGGGGAGTAAAACAATCAGCCTAAAAAGACATAAAATTAAGTTATTACAACCTCTACACATTTTGCCATTGTCAGGGTAGTTTAAATGATCTTGCTTGAGAGTACCTTGTATTTTGTTGTTGGCTTGTATTTGAATCACAAACCAGGTTCAAATTTGGCCTTCTGGTTGTGACACTGCCCACTGTAAGCCCATGTTAAGACACAGCTGGCATTTAGGTTGGATTTGCATTTTCTGTTCTAGCCACAATGAAATGATTAGAGGCATGCAGTTGGATGTTTTTCCATCTATGTTTTACAAGTAGGCATAATTGAATTGAGAAGGAAAAGCAACATTATAGTCTTGACTTGTTATGAATCAATGACTATATTCTCTAGCTGACAACCAGTCCTGTTTACCTGAAGGCACAAGTCTTTGCTGTCACCACTTGTCACTAGAGATTTCCATGTGTATGGCAATTACAGGTGTTTGTTGGTGGATGCTAGTGGGTCCTCTGGGTATCTACATCGCTGTATAATTTCATCCCCCTCTCCACAGAGTTATTCTCAACACAGGGAGAGGCAGACAGTAGGGAAGAGGACATCCACTGATAAATCCATTTAAAATGAATTTGAATCTAGTTTATGATGGTCACCTACTCCAGGGAAAAATAGCCCACATGTAACTTTAAAAAAAAAAAAAAATTTAGTCGGGCAAATACTCTCAATCAGCGATCTCACATTTCCTATGCATTTATAAATGGATCACTGAGAAGAAAAACAGAAAAACAAAGGTTATAGTGCCCCCGGTGGACAGTCAGTGTGGCCTGTAGACAGCCGTAAAGAACCAATACCACCACCTGAAGGCAAAGCATGTGCCTCCTACTTTTAATTTCCCATTTTAACAGTGTTTAAGTGTGTCTGCAGTAGCATTTGCTGTGTGTAATGTATTGGAAACAATTTAAAATCACATTTTAATGATTGAGTACAATGTCTTGATTAAATGGGGCAAAAATACAGTTCTCAAGCAAAAAACAAAGAGATTTAATGCAAAGCAATCTCCTTTAGTAACTGCAGAATAATACTATAACAAACTTTTTGCAATCTTTGGATCTCAGCCCAAGTATGATATGATAACTGTCAAGTGGCTAAAGTGTATGTACAGTACCTCCATGTGCCATAAATGTAGGCTATGATCTCTGAAGGATGAATGTCTGCAAATGTTGGAGCTTTTTATTTCATACTAAATCCACCAGCACCTCTCTGTGGTCAAATAGCCATACAGCAGGAGCAAAGTTGTCTTCATTCGACACAGTTTAAAAAAGAGCACATGCTAAATTGACATTCAGTACAAAACTAAAAAACACATAATCTAGAGCTGATTACAGCACACGGGACAGGTATTTCAGTTGTTTTTGCTGAACTTACTTGGGACCGTTAAACACTAATTCATCTGTGATATAAATGTGGTTTCAGTGTAAGGTATACAGTACGTCAACAAGAAGCTTCAAGTACATTAGAGAGTCAGCTTCAAGTAAGTTTTGCAATAATACTGTCTTACTGTAATACAGAAAGACTCCCTTTCAACATTCTTTAATTTCACAGTGCAATCACTGATAAACTGCATAGAAATATGATGAAATGATGCTGAGTCACATAAATTAACAGGATTTAAAATAAGGTTACAATCTAACATCGGATCTTTGGTTTACCTTTGAATTTAAAATACAAGAAAAACTAACTTTACATCCTAAGCAATGTATCATTCTAAAAGTGCTAATTGGTAAATAAATTAAATAAGATACTTCTAAATAATTTAATCTTCATCACAACAAAAGTTATTGTACATCAGTTTTTTTTCTTTCTTTTGTAAAATTTGCTAGAACTATAGGTCATTACAAAGAATATATTAGCACACAGCTCTAGTGCACATTCTAAACTAGTTTCATTTCAACCTCCAACAGAAGACCAGGAGGGAAAAAATATGAAACGATAAAAAACACCACAAATAATTTGCATGCCCTTTAATACAGGATGGCGAAACTTCCCACAGATATTCAGAGCTATTGGTTTGCCAAATGAGGAAGTTGCATGAAATCACTGACAATTCTCCTGATTCTGTGATTTGACCAAAATGTAAAAACTGAACCTGTTAAATTATGCAAGTGTTGTTTCTGAAACACTTAATCATCAATGATATTGTGGGAAATGGTCAAATCTCCCTAACCCTGTTGCTCAAACTTTGGCATATCTGTCACATCATTTGTTTGACATCTCTGTCTTGAAGTGGCTACATCTGGTTATCGTCATATTGTGGGCTAGAGGGCTGACCCTGCATGGCTCCAGCAGCTGCCCCCATGGCAGCCTGCTGGGCCGCTGCCTGCACATGAGGGTTTTTCCAAGCTCCTGAGGTCCATTCCTCCTGAGCTTTGGACATGCTGGCCCCGCTGCCACGGTAGAAATTATGGATCTGCAGGCAAGGTTATATCACAAGTTATAACAACAAGACTTCATGTGTGAAAGCTAATTACTTTAGTTACTGTTATCACATAGATTTAAGAGCAACGTTATCACCTATCCCCTATCAGTCTGTTTAAGGAATACAATGTTTTAGGTATAGCAAAGGATTGAATGGAATTATGGCAGTTAAACCTAGCAATGCTGCTTTGTCGATATGAGAGAAAATGAATCAATCTCAAATCCTGGACTGCCAAAGGGATATAACATTATTTTCTGCCACAATAAAACAGATAATCTGTAACCTATGGTTAAAGACTACATGAACGTTAAGTTAAATTCTTACCCTGGTTAGGGCAATGAAGGACAATGAGGCCACTGCAGTGAACATGATAGTAGGGACCAACATGATCAGTGCAATAAAAATATTATAACTGAAGAAGGAGATGGTAGCCAACCAACCACTGAAAAAGACAACATATGACCATTAACACAATTTAATAAAAAAAAAAAAAAAGATTAATTCTAGACAATGAAAACAACATCAACCATAATTATCTGGATTCTCTGGTGTCCCTCATCATGACACTACCACTGAACATCTGGATGTTAAATGCCAGTCATTTTGTGGACTTTAAGTACTGTGATATAAAGTTTAAAAGTTTTATAGCTCATACATGAGGATACCCAATTGCACATTGTGACATTTATAAACTTTATGGAGGCTGTCATAATATTAATTTCTGATCATCAGCCTGAGACAGGTGACATTTTGAGGATCTCTTTAACAGCCTCTCAAAATCTAATAACAGGAGTATCATAAAAGTTATATGAGGACAGTTTCTGATGTTCCATCACTGTCATGTTAATGAAAGCAGCAGACAAGGTCTTTAAAAAATACTACCTGACTGGACTTATTGCTTGAGCTCAAAATGTTTCATTCAAAAGTCAATTTTGTATTCTTATAAAAACAACTTCTGATTTTTAATGCTAGCTTTTGTTGCATAGCAATGAATGAATCTCACTTAAAAACGGTGGTAGAATGAACTTCAGAAATGACTCTGATATTTGGAGTTTAACTAGACTAGGTGGCTCTGCGTATGAGTCTCTGTACCTTAGTGTAAACAAACTTTCTCAAGAATTTATTTTCTCTTACTTTAGTACATTTCTTTTAAAATGTGTGCATCAGGATTGGAAGATAAATAGTTGCACCTGACATAATTGGCATTCAAGTTATTTTAAATAAATGTTTTATATTAAATGTATCAAAATTCTCCAAAACTAATAAAATAATTTGAAGTATGATTGGGGGAAAAGATCCTCTGTTAAATGTGAATAAAAATAAGTCATTTACAAAACAATTTGAGAAAAATCTTTTCCAGGCATCTTCAATCTCTGACTCTTACCATACTCCCCATCCAGGTATGCCTATGCTTTGGATGATGCTGATTCCAACTTGGGCCATGAACACAAAGAAGAACTGCATGAAGTTGAAGGAGCTGTCACTCCTAAGAAAATAACAAAAAGATCAAGAAATATTTACATATTGTGGCTTCACAGGCTACAGCACTCATATTTAGGAATCTACAAAATTTTCAGGTTTACCAATTATCAGCTATTATAGTAAAACTCTTCAATCATATGCCATGACAATAAAGCTATGGATGGCCTTGTGAGCGGACTGTGCTGGCCTGTGGGCTTTTGTCCTGCCTTGGTACTTTAGTTGGTCCACACTGGCAGTAGTTTGTCAGCCCAGGCTTCAAGTGCACTGCCCTCTGCGACTTTATGCCACTCCTACTCCTACTGCCCCTCTATAGGTAATGATTCCTTTCTCCTCCAAGGATGTGTAATGCGCTTCTACAGTGCCCTGATTTTAACCAGAATGGAAGGCACGAGCCACATTATTCATCAGGGCATCATCTAGTGTACTGGACGACACATCGGCTGTCCTTGACTTGGCAAACTGGTCAAGGAGCAGAAAGCATATAATGTAAGCTGGAAGATAAAGGGATGATTTAAGAAGATATTTCATTTGGCAGCCCTCTGCATTACGCCTCTCTTCAGTGAGGGGATAGAGAGGACGTTCTGGGTGCCCTTCTGTCTCCAGAGGGACTGGTTGAATTATTTATCTCTACTGCCACTAAACACTTTAAGAGAATGGAGGAAATATTATCTAAAATGCACTGTCCACTGTCACTGACCACCCACCCAACTGTAACACTAAGGACAGGACCACGGTACAGCATGTAGAAATTCCTCCGCAAAAGATAGAAAAGAGAGAAAATCTTTTTAGTTTTCATAAAATGTTTCCTACATGGCATTAGATGGATATGTCCCGTGATCTAAAGCAGTCCTCGAATCTGCCAAACTGAACTCAAACTCACACGTTTTTAGTGTGTGCACATGTAAAGAAGAAAGACCATACCCAAAATGCCCTTTCAAATGGCTGCGCCAGTGATCACAGAAGTACTATTGTAATATGCAACCATAATTATGGTGAAATGTGTAAGCCAGAAAATATTCTACTCTGTCATTCAGTGTTACTGCATAAGCTAGTATACATTATATTGTATTTGACACACAGTTATTTTCTCTCCGTTGAGCAGACGCTATACATTTCACTTTATCCCTAAACACCTATTGTTGCAATATAACACATCAGTTCAATGTTACTACAGTGTATGTGCTATGTATAACTATATTACTTCACAAAACAATTATTATTATTTTTGAAGGTCAGCAAGTCATATTTGACTTACTTGAAGGCCTTGTAGATGGGCCTGAACCAACAGACATAAGAGCAGGGAGTGAACATCAGGAGCCAGATGATAGCCAGCCCAAAGTTGGTCACACCACCTCCACCAAACATCCAAGCAAAGCAGCCAATGAGATTCACAGCAAGAGTAACACTATTCACTGTAAGACCAAAACAGACATACTGTGTTTAAGGTATTGATGCAAAAAACATATTCATTGGGTACACATACAGATATGCACATGCAGGAAAGAGTTTGAAAAAAAAGTGGATATTAAGGCAGCCAGCCTAACAAAATGTGAAATATGTAATTGCAATGCTTGACTCAAAATATGGCTTGTGTTCCCTGAATAGCCTTTATGCGGGTGTCCTTTTCTATTAATTCTCAGTAATGCTATGCGGCTACAGTACTCCACACTTAAATTGCACTTAGTTCTAATTGGAGCTCTGCGCTTTGGTCCCATCTTTCTAATCTAAAGCAAGCAAAGAAGGCCAATCATCTTCAAATTTTGGTCTATAGCGAAAAGGCAGAGTGCTTCACAAGAGAATTATGAGGCCAAACACAGCTGCAACATGAGAGCTATTAGGGAACACAGTTACATTTCTTGAACAGACGGACTTGTTAGGATAATACTGTTGGCTTCAAATGATTATCACATATGAAATGTGACACAAAATGTTCAACATAATTAAGAACAAAAAGAACATACAAAGTAAATAGCATATAAGTATAAAAAGCAATGTGCATACCCACACTTTGTAGCATATGGCAAATGGCAAATCCAAATTTAAGAAAAACCTATACATATTGCTGTAGAGGGAAGGGGAACAATAGCACATCCAAAAGCATTTTCGGGACATGGAATACCTGCTTATGTTTACTGTTTACTAGAAAAGAAGACGCCTGCAGAAAGAAAAGAGTTCAGTTGTAATGATAGATAGTTCAGAGTGATCATGAATACATGTCTCTTGTTGTGTATAAATCAGAAGTTTTCAGAGTGGGAGATGAGCCTCCCCAGGGGGGCTCCAAATTGTTTCAGGGGAGGCTCAGTGAAAGAAAGTGAAAAAAATATTACAGTAGTTATCAGAAGGAGATCACATAGAATAGCCTAAATGTGTGTGATTTAGTTAAAGCGGTAGTTCAAAGATAGCGTAGTTTGGGGAGGCCCATCTTTCGCACCCACTTTCACAGGGCCAGAAACTACTATGTCTTAGGACTTTTTAATGTATTTGGTGTTGTTGGAAGTTGTCAATTGTTGAGTGTCTATAGGATCAAATAACATAATCATTATCCCATAGGCATAGCAAAGCTTTGTCTGGGGGGAGACCCACAGTCTCAGACTTTAAATGATTTTTCAAATGAAAAACATCTTCCACACACTGCAAACACAATCAAAATCAGGCTGTGATCTGCCACAGGTTTAATAGAGAGGAGTGGCAATTCTGGACTTTCTCATTCAGCCAAAATCAGTTGCAATCTTGCATGCTTTGTTGTCATTGTTTTTTTTTATGTTACTCTCCCTATTCCTAACTGCTAGATTAGTGTTACTGCACCTACAGTATGTAGTATATGTTGCAGCAGCTTTGGGCTATTTCTTGTTGCTCGCCCCTTGCCTTGCCTTCATGGATGGGCAGGGAGCTTCCAGACCAGAGCAATATCACAAACATCATTGTACTGCTTGTTTATAGTGTAATAAACTTTGATGAAAGTGCTTCTGGCAAAAATTGTTTAACACAATTTCAATGTTAACTGCTCTGCTCAAACCAAAGCCATCTGGTCAGCGCTATGACTCATTAGCAAATAAACCAGTCAGGATAACACAGACAATAAAAAAATAATAATCTTTTTGGACCAAGGAGACCCTTGTAAACCATGCCCTTCCGTTACATAGTTCTTATCATGAGCTAACGACAGAGGAAAAGACAGTTTATGGGACCTCCAGGATCATTTTTTCTTTTTAAGGCTTCTGGAGGCCCTATCTGCCAAAAAAAAGTCAGTTTAAAGTTTCATAGTTGAAGAACTCCAAAGTTTAGTTGCCTGATGCAAGGATGATGTCACATAATCCTTTGGAAATTCCATTGTCTTAAAACAATACAACATCTCTTGAAGCTACTCACATATCCACAGGTGGTACATTTTCTTGCACATGCTGCGGTGCTGTTCAGGGATCTCATCAAAGTCCTGGTAGAAGCATGGCTTGAGCGGGATGAATCCCGGCAGTGGGGGGAAGTTGGGCTCTGAGACAAATAATTAGACAGTTAACATGGCAGGTTGCATATGTGAGCTTCTACCCCGGTATATTAGGCTACTTTATAATTACTGACCTGCCATGTGGATAAAGTTCACTGTTTAGAGTTCCTCCCTCGTCCGTTTCTTGAAATAAGAACAAACTGGAGGTTAGTACTTGTTTATTTCTATAGCCCTTGTAACCTAAGTAGTCATTTACAGTAATTTTCATATACATGAACACGTGTGAGCATATCTTATAGGGTCATTACCTGAACACCACGGTTTATGGGAAGAAGGCGTTTAACGGAGGGTGCTATAATCTAAGCGTTGCCGTTGGGATTTAACGTGTGAGCCCTTCAGGCACCGTCTCAATAGCGGTGATACGACTGTAACGAGTGAATCCTTCCGGTTTGAGTGAAACCTTCAGAAAATGCTCTCTCACACGCACGCACAAACACACACAGACACCGGGGGACCGGTCACGCGCGCTTGTTGCAATGGCATGCAAAATGCACTCCACTGGATGAAATGGGCCAGCGATATTCGCTGTATAGGCTATGTTCGAAGACAGGTAGATATTTTGACAGAGAGCTGGCCATCATGGCCAGGAATTACGGATTCCACAGGAAACATAATCTGCTTACCTCCTCCACAGAGCAGCCGCTTCTGTGTTTAAGATGCACAGTCTCCAGTGGAAGCTTCAGACTGCGAGTGTAATAGAGTGCGGCTGCCAATCGGACAATAGCCTATCCCTAATATGAAACTCTTATAATAGCCTACTTTCTTCTGTACAGTAGAATAGAGCGATAAACCTTACTATCCTGACCCACGACCAACCACCGTGCTTGAGTCCGCTGTCACTTTGATTCAGACCAATAGGTGGATTCCTCTAATCCTTGACGCTGTATTGTTGACCCAATCACTGTCTCGCTCTCTGTCCATGGTGCTGAACCCGTTTACCGACGGTGCGGTGTTAAACTGCGAGCAACCAGTCTCCTTGCTGACCGTTTCTCTACAGTGTCATATATGACAACCACCGAGTTCCATCTACAGATAATCTAAAAAGAGTGATACAGTCACACTGCTAATCTCACGTGTGTGTCAATTGCAGTTAAATTTTTCAGTATCATATGTCATGAACAGCAATGTAGCCTACGTCCTTTGTAATAGAAAACGCTTCATAAAAAACAGCCTATAGGCCACAAAATGTAACATAGTAGCCTAAATAATATAATATTATATTATAATTATGTTGTATTCTGATCAGCAGCACTATTAGAAATACACATAACCCTGGTTCAAGGCCATCAGTCAAATGAGAGCCCATGACAATGGCCTCAAACTTGAATATGAGACTTGATTTTGTTTCTGACCAAAATACCAAGCTGACTCCAGCTCTCCAGCTGGGGTTGCTGTTTCACTGCAGTGAGTGACTCTGGAAGGAAAGTGTAACTTGGATGATGCCACAGGAAATCTCTTGGCATCATCCAAGTTCAAATCTCTTGGTAATTCATCAACAACAGAGAGTCACATGTGTCTGGTATGATGCAGAAACCAAACTATGAATGGCAAATAAAGGCCCAGTGCCAGTAATACCCACTTAATTATTTACCAAATGTACACACATCTTAATGGGTCCAATGTAATTGATAAGGTGATTGAAGGAATACTGCTGGGTCACTTTTATATTGCCCCAGCAACACATTTACTATTAATTATTAAGCAGGCCACATGAGTTCTGACTTTGAATTATGTCAATCATTATGTCAGGCCCCTGATCATAATATGTTATATATACTGTACTGGGCCTGTCTGATTACTGGTTTCTGACATATATCTAATGACTTGATTTGTCATTGAAACTATTAAATACAAGCCAGATAACTTTCTGTACTTAATCTAGATTAAACCTCTTTAGACAGCAGTGACGCATGGTGAATCTTGAGACTACTGCCAGGTGCCAAGGAGGTGTTTTGTATCTCAGTCTGCCTCCCACCTCAGGTGGACAAAAGAAAAGAGAATGTTTCCCATAGAATCATTTACACTATCATTGCAAATGTCAACCTACATCATAGACACGGTGCACCCTGATCAGCCCACTTGGATCATACAGTGTCATAACCCATGCAAGAGAAAGTGCTTCACAATAAAAATAAGGCAATAGACATAAATCACAGATATTTGTCATATCTTGTAATATTGTCATTGTTATCAATGTAAATGAAGACCTCCAGTGCTCCAGGAGTTGTTTTCTTTAAAACTATGGAGGTTTCATTAATTCTATGTCCAGAATAGTACAGACCTGAAACAGGATTCACTTTCCTCACAGGAAGCCATTTCTGAAGCTGAATATCCTTACAATGATTTACGATATTCTAATTTCAGATTTTGGTCAAGTTACCTTCATCACTAAATCTTCTTTGAAACAACTGTCATCCCTCGAGTTGAAATTAAAAATATATAACTAAGAATTGGTACAAATGTTTATTTGTCAGCTTCTGTGTATTCTGAGAACTTTGTATTTTGAAAAAAAGGGTCAAGATGATAAGACATTGTAATTTACTCACAATAATTTCCACAAAAGCAAGCAATGGAGGCATTGAAGTGTTCTCAAATTTTCAGTAAGTAAAAAAAAACATCACCACTGCAGATTACTCTTTCCAGGGTGTAATCCGTACAGTGATCAATAATTCCTTTGATATGAAAAAGGAATAAAAAACATGAAATTACTGAGTGTCTGCAGGAAATGAAGAGTTAATGTGTCGATTCACTAACTGAAGTAGCACTGTGTGTTCTTGCCTTTCCCTTACCTGCAAGCAATAGAGGTAGCAAATGGTGGAAATTATTAAAATGAAAATTAAAAAGATAACCAAGCCTTGAATATGGCAATTGTCAAAGATTAGATGAATGGGTATGGAAGTGAAACCTGGTGTGTCCTATGGTAACTAATACATGCATGAAAAAGGCTGCTTGAAGCATCCATCCGTCCATTTTTTTAAAATCACACACCCTGGTCAGAATCCACAGGGACTGGCATATCCCAGCTTATACTGGGCAAGAGGAAGGTACACCCTGGATGGATCATCTTCACTAGGCCTGGGAGTGATGTTCAAAATCAGTGCAGAACCTAAGAAACAGGAAGCAGAAATAAGGGTAGCATACTGGAGGTGCCATGAAAAACTGAAATAACACCTGCATAATACCACAAATAAGTGCACTACAGTTTAGTCGATGCAAGAAAAAACAAACATTCTCTTTGAATTAACATATAAAAAATAATTATCACTTGTGAAATCAAGACTCAGAACCTACTTTTTAAGCTAATTAGGACACGTGACTGTGAGTAATGGTGCTATTTTGTGTTAACACACAGTCCACCTTCCCCCTCCCAATACAACTCACCAAAAGCCCTTCACTCTGCATAGATTAGAATGGGAAAGTCAGATTTCCCTGATGGGTCTTCTGAGTTCTCTTTGCTGCGTGCTTTATCATAATCCTGGATGGGAGGTAGATAGTAGTCAGGATATTAAGTATTGAGACAGTGAGAAAATGAGAGCAGTAGGAGGGGAAAAATAAAAGAAGACAGAGAGAAGAAAAGCGGAAATGAAGGGTGAAAGATCGGCCTGACATCTTAGCATCAACATTTACTGAATATCAGAGGCAGACAGATACGCGTCTTACTTTATTTTTTCTCTTGGCAGTTTACATATGCGTAACTACTCCATAAATGACCCAAGATTTGCAAAAACGTATACTTAAATTAAGTTCATTATTCAATAATTATCTACGTTCATCATCCAGATTTGGTACCATTTTGAAAATAAAAACACATTTAGATAAGTTGTTTTGAGTTTGTGCTAAAATGTCTTAAACAATTGTCACATTTTTTCAGTTAAATGTCGAGGTACTACACCACCACGTGCACAGTGGCATGGCACACACACAAACACGTAAATCCACTTGTTACGCATTGAATACATGAATACATTTATTTATCTTTATCACTGGGTGTGTAAATGCTCTTTAAATGAGGTAAAAGTAAGTGCCTGTTGTTCAACTCTCAATATCCCTGCTTGATGCTCTCTATTGGAGCCCAGCGCCAGTGCACCCTAGCGTCATTGTTCTCCAAAAGAAAAAACATTTGCCCAGTCACCCCCCTAAGCCCATGTGCCACCGTGGTCTTGGTTTCTATGGAGACGCTTTCCACCAGACCAAGCATGTGGAGGGCACCCCTCCAGCGGAAGGAGGTGGAATAACATTGTGGCAAGGCAATCATACACAAACCTCATTTACATATCCAAACATGAACCATGGACCGTAGCATACAGTGTTTGTTTCCATTAAACATTTCACAGTAGTTGATTAAACCCAGCAGGAAATGCAGCACAGATATATGATTATATTTTATCACCAGAAAGGTTTAATTGATTCCCAAAATTGTATGAATAAAGGCAAGCTAAAGAAAGTTTGAGTAAAAATATTCTTCTTCTCTCAGAATGTAGAAAGTATTTTCTCTGTGCCCCGAGATCACTCAGTATTCTGATCACCCTTGCTCCCTTGGTAGAAGCTTGTGTCTGGGCCTGATGTGGTCACCCTTGGCACCTCCAGCTGGGGGCACTGTTCCATCTGTCTGCCAGTCTGTAGTAGTTCCTTACCCATTCAGGAGATGCTCTGCTGTCAGACGGAACTGTATGTCATTGACCTTGCGGAAGATGAGAGACAGTCACCATGTAGGCTACTGTACTCAGCATTCAAATACACAAACTTCACAGACTCAAGACTGTAACACTTGTGGCCTAGGTACAAGGACTCAAACAAACAAGGGAAGAAGCAAGGTGACTTTTTACATTTTTTTTTATTTCTAACCACGTTTTAACTGCTACCATTTCTGGACTACTTCCTTAAAAACCTACTTTTTAAGCTACTCTTGAAGCTACACTCATCAAACATTTTGCAAGTGATATGATAAATCAAGTAGTGATTTGAACAATATAACAGAAAAGAGTCATCTTACTCCTTTAAATACTTTAATGGAAAGTAATCTCTGTAATAGGCCAAATAATAATGGAACCAAAAGATACAGACATTAACATCTTTCACTGGGGCTGAAATTGTAGCAGACACTATCACACTGATTTCTATATAATTTCACTGAATCTCAAACAGTAGGACCCACAGCTATAAGGACACCAGTAAGGAAAGTGAGTGTTTTAAATAATTCAAAATGCTACTTTCCATGGTCAAAAAAATACAATCATAAATACACTTCAAATAAAGGCTAAAAACAAACAGACTCAATCAAAATTGTTTTATGTTGATTGTGTGACCACTTATTTAACACATACGTACAATGCCAACTTTGATGACACATATATCATTTCAGCACATGAACATAATAATCCTTGCAACACAGAGTGACTAATGAACCGCATAACTAAATTATTATATATGATTTACAATTCACTATTCCTCAGAGACAAATAATCTCATCTAATCTAATGGTAACTACAGACTAGATACTTGTGCTTATATTTAGTACTTCACCAATAAAGTCTAATAGCATTAATTGTTATGAATGACTAAGTATATTGTTCTTTAAGAATTGTAGTAATGAAAAACTATGTTATCATCATTAGACAGCCCACATAATGTGCTATCAGTTAGAAAGATGCAGAATAGATCTCAATCATTCATTTGTTGCACAGTACCTAATTTGGTCATATGCCATTTGTAAAAAATAATTATACATACTCTGTGCTCATATACATTATATGCAAATTATTTTTAATAACATTCCGCCTGTTAAAAATGCAAGTAAGTTTTTATATCCAGTACTAACTGAATTTCAATGTTGACTTTCACAGCTGTATGGTATCCATACCACACAACTTGATATAGTGAGTTATGAACATGCTCATAAATTCTACTCTGAGCCAGGCAGCAGAGGGCCAAGATGAAATCCGCCGAATGCAAAACTTCCATCAGGGTCTTCATAGATCTAACACTCACCACAGAATTAGAATCAGGCTTTAGGAGGATAATCCATGTGGTGGAGAAGCTGAGGGAGTATGCCCGGATGAGTTTCAAACCGGCCAAGTTTAGATCACTGGTGCTGAAGAGAGGAAAGGTGGATGACACCTTACCTTTCAACAATAGATGGATTACCATCCCCACCATCACAGAAAAGCAGGTAAAGAGCAAGGTTTTTGACAGCACCCTGAGAAATACAACATCAGTCCGATCTACCTGCATTAATTTGGAGAATTGGCTGTGAGCAGTGGAGTGATCATAACTTCCAGGAAAGTTTAAAGCATGGCTGTACCGGCACAGCATTCTGCCCAGAATCATATTGCCACTCCTGGTGTATGAGCTGTCAATCTCGACAGTTGAGGTCCTGGAGAGGAAATAAACTCAGTGTACTGCATTTTACTCTATGGACATAAGAACGAGCTGCAACTGCCACTCAGATCCTTGGAAGAGGAATTTGAGGGGACAAGACCTAGGGAGGGAGGAAATGGCAAGCAGTGCAAGGAGGAGAGATAGACACTGCCTGGTTGAGAGGGAGGTGAGAACACCGAGGAGGAGAGGTCATGCAGAATGTTGGTGATAATGCAGCGGCCTGCCTAGAGAAGGTGAGACAACACGCTGTAGAGAAAGGTGACATCGGCTGAGCAGTGGAAAGCTGAGCCCCACCAGATGAAGTTCCTCGTCCAGGCGGTGTACATGCTTCCAGCCTGTCAAATCTCCACACATGCGGGAAAGCTTCAACACCGGCATGTCTGCTGTGCTCCAAAGGTGGAACCCTTGAGTAGACCCTGAGTTGCTGCCCTATGGCACTAGAAGAAGGACGATACTGACACCATAATCATGTCCTGAAGTTAATTGTAAAACCATCAGCACTGGAGTTTAGTGGAGCAAGTGGTCCTGCTCCTCAAAACAGGCCATCACTTTCCTCAGAGCTGCAGAGCCGGGAGCCTCAGTTAGGACATCTGTTGGTGGATCTGGAGAAAAAGCTCAAGATCCCTCAGCATATCACATCATGCTGGAGCTAACAGTCCCCTGAGAACCGTCACAGCGGTGAGGAAGAGTGGCAGACAGGCAGGCAGGTTCAGGTGAGAGACGCTTGAAAGCAAAAACACAAAGCAAGAAGACAGACAAAGAAAGGAGTAGAGCCATCCACAGATGTGAAAGAGCCTTGAGATGGCTGTGGCTCAAGTCAAGACAACCATGGGGCAAGTAGCTAGCTAGCAATGTGGACACAAGCTGAGGTCTTATCAGCCCCCATCTGGTTTGCCTGGAGGAGGGTGTATGATGCTGAAAGACCCGACACGCCTGTTGATTCCAGGAACATCACTGAAGATGTGTCCAGAAGTATATAATTTACAATAAAGTTGACACTGAAAGACAAACTCAATGAGCATGACCACATTTTGATCAAAGGCAGATTGTATTTGTTCAGTTGATACACGAATATTCTTAAAACAGCATAAGTGCAGTGGAAACAAGTGTGTTTAATCTCATCCCATGTAATTGTTTTAAGACAAGCGTTTTATCTCCCCTTGAGTACAACAGTTACTAAGATGGACATTTTCTGGACTGCAGCAGAGTTGCTCAGCTCCTCGCCAACCAATTACAGTATTGTCTATAGTAGAAAAATCTAATTTGTTTCAAAGAAAAACAGCAACACCAACCTACTGCTTACTGCCAAGATAAAGTACTAAAACCTCTTGCTGTTTGACTCAAGCCAGACAAGTTTACTATCCTAATTGGTCTCAGTGGGCAGAGCATCAAATGTGTAAATAATTTTCTCAGCAATTGGCCTGCTCTATCTTTGGCTATCCTGGCGTTCCCTTTTTCTGAAAAGCAAGCTGTGCCTGTTGGAACGATGTCCTGTAATTCCTAGAGCACATTGTTTTTATCGTGTACAACTGCTTTAAATATGGTCATGTGAGACCAATGTTCAATCACAGAGAAACTAATCATATAATACATATCAACCAGAGTGCACGGCCAGCCATGTCTGTCGGTGGTAACAAATTGCAGATGGGATTTCAACTGGTATGGCAGCATGTTCACTTGGATTGTGCTTTATGGGTTACTCATAATTAAGAACATAGCTTGGAGGAGGTCATACCCTCCACCAGATCAGTTTGTCTGAGCACTGCAACATAAACTTGGATTTACATTTTCCTACATTACACACCGACTGCTTTTATTTGTTTACACTTTCTACAATAACCAGTACAGCAGAGCAGCACACGAATGCAGCGTGATGGATCAAGGCTCACCGCCAAAACTCCAACTAAGAGTGAAGTGTCAGAGAAAAATGCACAGTTCTTATAGATGGTTTGTGCATTCAGATCTGTAGAGTGATTTGTGAGCAGTTTGTGTTCATTATTTTACAGAGTTGGGGAGGAAAACGGAGAAGCAGGGAAATTACAACTTGACCACAATCACAGAGGACACAGCAGTGCTATTACTTTTCCAATGCAATCACATAATGCACTGGATCCACTGGACATTTGCTTTAATCAGACACCTGGGAAATGCATCCATCCCATTTCTTTTCATCAGCTCAAATCCACCTCACATCAGTATTAAATGAATACGCTGAGACGAGAAATCTGAAAGGACAAGATATTATTATCAAAGGAAACTCCTTCATTACTGCCTTTTATGATTGCTTGTCTTTCTTCTCCACATTGTAGGCAAAACATAAATTCAAAAGGTACAAGATGACTCCATAATGATCTGTAATAGGCTTCCTCTTTTCATCCCAAGAAGCAATTTATAAGTAGTTGTCACATCAAAAGGTGTATATCTCACTTTGGAACTTCAAAGAACAATTATTTGTGCATTACACTGTAATAATAATAATTTGATGTACATGTAAGCATAGACTGCTGTTTAGCCATATCTGAAGCCTTTGTTTTTCTGTCCTGCGCTATCTTTGCTGGTGCATGTGGGGATGCTGCTGTCGATACTGAGAGTGCTGCACAAGTCTTTGTCTGCTCTGGGAAGAAGGCTGGGCTCCAGCTGGCTCCCGCTATGTGCAGAAGTCAGTGGGTCCCTCTGCACTCAGTGCAGGAGGCGGGCTGGTTGATTGATTGGGATACACACCACCAACGGCCCCCCCCCCCCCCCCCCCCCCATGCTCAGAGAGCACATGTGTCTCTCCTGCTCTCCAGTTTTTATACCCAGACCTGCTTTATTACACACGGACGTGCATTCAGCCAGGGATAGGCTACTCGTCCATACATGTGCAGAAATAAAGGTGCATGCTCACACACACACATTGAACAAAAGAACAAATACACACTTGGATATATTCATGAAATCATACGAAAGAATGCGGCTACAATTCGCATGATCGCTCACAAACATAACCAGTGTCTCCAACGTTGGGTTCATACAGGGCAACACATTTGCAGTCATTACAGAAACCCGCTCAGCCAGACCAATCTCCACTCTTCGTTTTGATCTAACAGACAATGAAGCATTACCTCAACAAATTCATCATTCCTGACAGAGAGAGAGGGCGCCGGGGGTAAAATATATTTTGGCAGATTTGGTATTGCAAGTGTTTCCTCATTGTATCTGCTTTGAATGCTTCCAAGTGTTGTTGGGAAGCATGGAGTTGGACAAAAAGGAGGAAGAAGGGGTGTGTTAGAATCACCGACTGCTTTTCAGGACTCCAGCAACGACCAGCCAGCCAGTGTCTGGTGAACGCGCATGTGTGCGTCCATGCGCGCGCGCGTGCGTGCGTGTGTGTGTGTGGACCAGCAGGCAACACACACTTAACATTCGTTCGCAACATGGCGTTGAAGCGCCGAGAGACACGACGGCTCTCCCCCGACTAATGCATCCTCATTGTCAGGAAAGCCGGGGACTGTTAACCAAAGAGACCTAAACATTCACAGAGACTCCTTTACGCGCCGGCAGACAGAATAGCGGATTCCAACATATGCATGTCGCTATAACGGTATAGCTGGTTGTATAGACGTACGGTGCTACCCCACTGGTGGAAATCAAAGGCTGTACATGGCGGTGGAGAGTACAATTTGGCTGTTCTGTCTTCTTTCGCTGTTTTGTGGTCCATCCAAGCAAGGTAAAGCTCCCACTTTAATCATCTGCATGCTTTTCAGTGGAGTGCATGTGTGAGGCAGCGGGTCACTCTTATACACTGAAGTGCAGTTACTCCGAACATAAGTGGGCTGTGATAAACGATAGGAGAGAGCTACTGGGTGAATGTGCACCTTGCACGGTACGTGCAATATCGCCTCTGTATTTTGCGTTCACCTCATGTGGCCTCTCCAATGCGTTAGGGGTGTATCGCTACTTCATGGGTGTCTCTCCCAGGACGGCTTTGGCATTACGAAGTTGCAGCACATTGCCCAAGGAGCAGCCCTTAGCTGTGCCACAGAGCGGCCACAGGGCTTTGAGCCGACCGGGGAAGTTTCGGATCAAGCAGGGGATGCGGCTCATTATAATAACATGTAAGCTCTGCCTTGGTTTTTAATAAAAGCGGAGCGCCCCGGAGCATCTCAGTCTTAAATGTGTAGCTTTTTTCTCACGGTCTTATAAGATCTAACGACTGGTCGCGTGGGACGTCTGGTTTAAGCCACTGATCAGAAAGTTGAGTGAGAGGATTTTGAGGAAAGAGTAGCCTAATTATGTCACCAAAAGGGTACCTTCATCTAGGCACGATCTTGATAAAGTTGAAGAAGAATGTGTGCCTGAGAGCTGACAGTGGAAGACGCACAGTAGCAGTTTTATTTCGCAGACACTGCGGTGGCTCCGGAGTGTGGGAGCTGGGCTGTGTCGGAGAGGGAAGTCTGCTCACACAGGCGGCGACGAGTGGGTGATTGAGTGGCCATAGGATTTACATGACAAAGACCTCTGTAGAATATCAGTGGAGGTTATGCAGTTAAATGCTCTTCAGGGCCAGGAAAAGAAGATATTTTAAAAACAAACAAGCAACAAAAAAAAAAAAAAAACAGTGAACCTGCCATGCATGTCTTTTCTTAGAAACATTTTTTTCACTAAGGACTTCCAAAGAGCATACCGACATGGTGCAAGCTACAGGTGCAGGTAACAGAGGCAATAGTGATGTAGTGGAGAAAAACAGTCTAGTTAGTATGTTATCTCTCTCTGCAGACTGTTATGGTAGAAAATGGTGTCCTCTTACATTTAATCTTTTATGCATGTTCTTTTATTATTATTATTATTACTATTAATATTACTATTATTTTTTATGTCTTATATATATATGTATTGTGTTTTTTATCCTTAACCTTTCCTTCTTCTATACTCCTTACGTTAGTCTGTCCACATTTTCTGGGGTTTAGGCCAGACCTATGAGATTGTTGTGGTGTTTTCCCTCTCTTGTTGTTCCTGTCTTCTCCTTGAATGTTCTTTCAAGGCTTGAGAGGATCTCTGTTCCCCAAAACTTAGAAACCTAGACAGTGTAAATGATGATACATCCCTTTGCTTGGGGCCAGATGTCCGATGCTGCCCTAGGCGGCAGGTCTCTGGACCAGCTGCATATGTGTTTTAGTACTTCTCTGTTTATTCTCTTTTATTAATAAATTCTTCAAAGATAACGGTTAGTTGTTACTCAATTATTTGCTTAATCCCTCACCAGCAATATACAATTTCCATGACACAGACCTTTAGGGAGTGAAATAGGGCTGACATTAAACCAGTTGTCATTAGACTGTGTATGTAAAACGGCAGCAAACTCTCACGTAGCTGTAGCACTTTGCTTTTCGCCCTATGGGACGGGCATTTGGGAAAAATGATACCAAGTATTAAGCATTCTGGTGTTAACAGGTTGGTATATATCTTTTAACAGCCAATCATGAGGACCAGACAAGTGGGACTGTGTGCATGTGTTTGACAGACAGACAGAAAGAGAGATGGCACAGTACAGAACTTTCAGATGTATCTTCTTTGGACTAAGAGCTCCAAGAGGTGCCATTTATATTCTGACTTGGCAAATGGTTGGATAAAAATGAGTCCTGTGAACGAATATAACTTAATAATAATAAAAGAAACTAATTATCTTTGGGGTTTGAACTGATGGTCAGATAAAATCGGATACTTCAATTAATGGATTGATCAAGAAAATAATCTGCTGATTAATAAATTAAGAAAGATGATTGTTAGTTGCAGCGCTACTTTGAATTGCCACCTAATTATTCTGCCCCAAAGAGTTAAAACATAATATAAATAAGGTTTTGCTTTGTGTAAAGAGAACCATCTGCCGCTGCAGAACTAAACTTTGACCAGTTAAAATCTTAACATGTCCTGATGAGATAACAGGCACACTATCACATCTAACAACCTTTGGATGCTGATATCTTGTATTGATTGATTAGCCCATGGAAATACTACACAAGCTGTTATTTTTCACTAGAAAAATGTGTTGGCACAAAATGTGTTGGCACAAAATTTTAAAATCATCCAACTGCACTGTAGTGTTGTTTGTGGGTGTTCCTTTCCTCCTGCTTCACACATTTTCTTACAAATTGAAGACAGAGCTTTGCTTACCATTGCCTTTTGTCTCACTCATCAGTATTTTATCCTCCTCTTGTGTCTGGAGATTGCCTCCACATAGTTATGCTGCTGCTGCTGCAACTCAAGTATGATATGCTCTGCAGTGATTGCTACCAGCACAGTGATGAGAAATAAAGGAATATTGTGCAAGGATTGGTGTGGTGGTGAAAAGTCCAGCATGGCGAAATGAATATATCAGAAACTACTGTACTTACACACATCCAGGTGGACACCGCCCCCTTCTGAGGTATGCTGTAATTTTATCACATTAGATTTATTATTCATTGTTCTGTTATGCTATAAAAGCCTTAAAAGGGAAGGAACGAGAGGTATGCCTCCTTGACTTCTATCTGATATAGTGGTAGAAGGTCAGAGGATACAATTTATATAGAGTTAGATTACCATGCCCTGCAGACTCCAGCAGAGGCAGAATTACTCTCCTTGAGATCTTCCTGACAGGAGAGTGAGTGCCACACTAGAGGTGATCACATCCAGATGATTAAATCTCTTGCAGGTAAATGGCGATTGTGATGGAGGTTGTCAGTGATAAGAGTGAAGAGGAAATTTATTTGTTTACACTGTGAGATTTATCATTGTTAGTTGGTGCCAAACTGTTTCGACATTTGGTTGCTGTCTTAAAAGCCTTTGAATTGATAAAGTTTCACATCTATGAAATGACTAAAGGAACATTAAACCAATCACAGACCAAAACCCATTTAAATATTTAGGAACTGTCATCAAAATGTGTTTTGCTTCAGAGGAGTAGCCACATTTGTATTCATGAACTCTGCCAAACACTGACAGCAGCATCATGCTTTACTATCAAATGAACAGATTAGTATTTATTGTGTATTATTACTAAATAATTAAGAATTAAGTTAACAACACAGTCGTCAACGGTGACTTGGTGTGTGCATGTTTCGGCGTGTGTGCATTTTGTTGGGTTTATAAAGTGGGGCATGAATGTTGTTGGTGTTGGTAGTTTGTGGGAACTGAGGCTGGTGAGTGGGGGTTGGGCTGATTCTGGGACAGGGATGAATTGGCGGGTGCTGGTGGGGCAAATTCGAGGGCAAGGGCCATTGCTACGTCCACAAAGAGCTTGTTTTATCCATTCTAAAGATAAATGAAAATTTGTCAGCTTCACTTAACACATCACAAGCAAATGGACAAAAAACAAAACATCTGCGCTCCCACAACACTTTTTGAGCAAATGAATGTGATTTTTGTAACGCCTTTGACCTTTTTATATACACATGAAAATTGTAAAGACAGCAACAATTGCAGGATGAAACCTTGGCACTACACTGACTGAGAATATCACATGAGATCATTTACCCTCGATGCACCAAATGCCTTCACAGTGTTCCACTCCTCTCAGTCCTCCTAGTCATTTGATGTGTTTAGCAAGTGTTGCTCGAGCTCACGTGATGCTTTTCTGCGCGGTTCAGCTTAACACTCACATAGTCACACATTTGGGAGATGCCCAGAGCAACAGCAGTCTCCTGCAGTTCCACTGTAGCAGCAGAGTGTGATATGCTACAGTTAAGGGGAAAAAGCACCTCACATTAATTTCAGCCCCTGTTTTAACTTGTAATGTTACCTTATCAGACAGTAACAATGTAGACTGTGGTGAACAGCTATTGTGTTGCACTGTAAACTTTGTGTTAGTCTATAATTAAAAGTAAATAAAAGGTATCCAAATGAGCAGCATTTACTCACATGCTCCTGACGTGCCTGTGAAGGCTGTGAGCCAATCCATTAACATCACAACACTGTTGATGTCTTATTTTTAGATTTCTTTGAAATGACCTTACACTACCTCTGTGTGATTTCAGCTCAAGGAAGGATTAAATTACATTATTTTATTGGATATGGATAACTCTACAACTCAACATCTAGTCTCTGAGTTACTGTTCGAGGCAAAACCCACTGTTATTCCTCTAATATTCTCAGGTCAGTCAGGGTCATCTCAGCAGCTTGTTTCATACAAAGTTAATATTTTGACTGAACACCCGAGGAAAATGTGCCTGTAGGAATCACACTGCTGAAGTTACTGTGAGCAGTGTTAGGCATGGTGGTGGGAGGGAAATGTTTTTTGAGTCAACCATTTATTCAACACATTGCACCAGGGTACTCTGGGGCAAAGTCCATTTTCTAGCTTAAATATCATGGAGATGTAAAATTACACAAGGGGTTATGTTTTTTGGCTTGGCACAGTGTCAGAGGAAGATATTTTGAATCTAGTGAGTTTGGTGTGTTACAAACATTGTAATGTTTTTTTTTTTACATTTCAAATTTAACACAAAATGCATACATTTCAGTTTGCAGCAGAGGCAAGTTGAAGGAAGATGCAGTTTCTGATCTAAATAGTTTTATCTCCTGTGTTAGGACTTAAGAACAGGAGAAAAAAAGGTCATGATTTAAAGTCCTTTTTTTACATTTGTAAAAACAAGTTAAAAAAAAGTCTTATGGTAATTTTATTTTTTTTTGTCAGGATCCGTTTTCTTCCAGGTGAAGCAAAGATTACAAGAGATGTCTTGTCAAAAGAAAGACATAACAGTAATGTTACATAACATGCTAACATAGATGTACCTTGTGAAGAGAGGGTATGGAGAAATTAAAACTCACCTGGAAGAAAACATGAATACTTTAAACCCTATTTAGAACATGGGGTATTAGTGCACTTCAGCCTCTTGTGGCCGAAAGCATATTACTACAACAAATACTAGAAACTTAAAAAGTTTATCCTATAAGTCATGAACACAGGATAGAAAACTATTTCAGTCAGACTTATAAAATGGATGAACAGAGTTTTTTTTCTGACTTGCCTCACAGGGCTCCCATAGTGAAGTCAGAGGTATCGCTGTCTCAAAAGTTGCATCACTAGCTGCAATAAAGTTGAACGATATTCTGCACGACATGCATACCGGTGCTAAATTGAATTGACGTTTAACAGCTGTTTCACAATTCAACATTTACTTACAAATTTAATTTGAATTTTTTTTGCCTCGGTGTTTACTTCCATTATCTTGGCTTCAGTCTCGGGGTGTCACAACACCAGAGTAATGTCAAGCAGAGCAGACCATATGCTGAAATGTGTGTGTTAATGAATAATTGATTGTTGGACAATTCAAACAATGTACTACACAACTACACAAACCTGTGAGATAAACTCTTACATTTGTGTCATAATAGCAGCTTGAAATTGCAATAAAAATGTGCAACAAAAGCTGAGGTTAGTAACAAACCTTTTCCTTTTGATAGATTTTCATGGTTACCACTGTGTAACATTTACACATAAACAAAACCACATGGGCCTCCCACTGGAGTTTTCTTTTCATACTACATTTTTAATACAAGTTCAAAACTCTATTGGCCACTGTTTGATCTTCCAAATATTGAGAAAAATGTCTTGCTCTCTTTGGCTCTTTAGATGCTGGATTCACTTCGACTTGTTTACATTGTCAATCATAGAATAAATTTCATACTGTGCAAGTAAGCGAACAAATGGCATGTGTTACTAAACAGGTTGATTGGTGCTAAAAGCAGCAAACCAAAACAAAGTGGCTTTAAAGGTTCTTTTAAAGCTTTTTTTTTTTTTGCTTTCTGGCACTAGTTTTCTTCCTGCTGACTGCTTTTGCCTAACGATCTGATTATGTTGTGCTAGTCCACAAGGCTCCAGTACACCAGTGATGTAGTGGTATTTCTGGAGGTTGTCCTGTTTCATACTTGGTGTCAAAATGGTATCTGAACTGGAAGCTGTTAGTGGTTCTCAATGTACTGACTAGCAAACAGACACACTGCTATTATATATGTATATATATATATACCCAAATAGGTAAAGAAATAGCCACAGAAACAAATATATGCCATATAGAAGATGCAGGAAGATGGAGTAAATGTTGGTCTCCACCTTTAGATCCCCTAAGGTTGTCATCCATGTCTACTCCTGAACTCTACCACCATATGTAATGTTTAGAGTGTGTTCAGCTCCAGTTTGTTGTGTCTACATCAGAGGGCCGGCTGTTCAACCTCCCGTATAGTGGCAGCTGCAGAATATTAAACATTGAATTTGTAGAGGGATGTATGCTGGTTGTAGATCGACTTGCATTGGCCTTTACTGTTACTGCTCATGTGTCTAATATCAGTATGAAACTGCCCTGGTCACCAAAAGTCTGTGTAGGTTGTGTTTGTGGTTGTTATTCTAACAAGTGCAGCGGGTAAATTGCACCTTTAATGACTATGTTCGTTGTTTGAAGTTTGGGTCCAAACTTATCGCGCTCTATCAGTATTTCTGTGAGCATACCTACAAAGGTCTCTTGAGACTCTCTTGAGAAACCAGAGCTTGTTGGGCAGCAGTGCCTGTGGAGAATAGCTCATTACACATTAGAGGTACATTAAATATCTGCATGTGTGTGTTTGCTGAGGTACATTCACCCCCGCCTGCTTTTTTGCGTGTAAGCGTGGGTGTGTCAGCTGCGATTTGTGAGTGCATCTTGATCCTCTCCCCAGAGTCCTTTCTAAATTAGGATGCATATTATTTAAAGATGCCCTGGGCTTAGTTTCAGCTGGGTATATTTATGCAGCGAATTTGTTGATTTTTATGGTGCCCTGTGTGTGCCTATTTGTGTTGCCAGAGAAGCAATCTTGAGCACAGAAGCGTTGTGTTGAATATATTTTGTTAGTGTTTTTTTTTTTTTTTCAGTTGTAAATAGCCCGGCCACTTATATCTGGAAAATGTCCAAGCTAATAAGTGATAAATTGGAGTAAGCACACGTGTGTATTTTGATCAGCCAGGGTCAGATCTTTGGAAAAACAAAGAACAATCTGAAGATAAAATAGACAAATGGAAAGATCTTTTCCCATCTAAAACCTTCAACAGAGATTATAATGCCTATCAAATACATTTAGAGATCATAAAGCTTCAATTTCTTTCCATTTTCTGGCTTTTGTTGTATTCCAACACGATATAATTTTTAATATAAAGTTTTTCAGGTATAGAACTTTATTGGCTTTTCGGCATTCATGGAAAAGTTCCATTTTGACTTTTCAATCATGACAGGAGGGTTACAGATATACTTTGATGG